TAGCCGCCAGCCAATGAACAACGGGAAAAAAGTCCTTAGTGAGTTAAGGACCCTGAGTGAGGCCAAGAGCTACTGAGACAGGTCGCACCTGATGTATAAAATCATGTGGGTGAGTTCTTCTTTTGGTTGGATCTACTATAGTTAGAGATAAATTACATGTAAGTTTTATGTGAAACTTTGAATAACTTGATCCTAAATAAACAAGGACAGAACAGCTGAATTAGAAAAAAAAAAGAAATTGAAAATTTGTACACCCTACCCTTAAAAAATCATATAAAACTTTCCTAAAACTTTAAATATATATTCTTTGTCATTTTATAATCTTTTATTAAAAGTCTTAATTTTTAATCGCTAGTAGTTTAAAACTAATCTTTCACTAAAGTTGAACAATTCTTTACTATATTCTTTAAATTAAAATTTTAATTTACCTAAAGCAATTATATGATTGGTTAAAATAATCGTATGTTCTATAAAATAGGTGAGCAATATAAGAAATAAACTTCACTAATAATTAGTATTTTTTAATATCAGAGTTGCAGAGTTGGTGGAGTTTGCCTACCTATTCTATAGAATATCCAAATAATCTTTTAAAAATTAAAGAAAATTTTACTAAGCAAAGTCTTCTTCTACTTCTAAATAAAGTTGTAGAGGAGGTTCTTCTGATTCTAATGATGATTAGATTATTAAAATCAGCTTGGTGAATATCAAGATACTTGGAGTTAAAGGTGCAAACATAGGGATCTGCAATTTAATAATTACACAAAGTATTATTATATATAGTGTTTTAAGCTGGCTAATGCAGCTATAGCTAAGCTGGCTTAGCCAGCTAAGCCAGCTGATACAAAATAATCAGCTGGCTAATACATTACTCTTGCTTCGAATTGATCAATAGAATTGTAAATAAAATAAAAATTATAATAATTATTAATTAAAACTATTTTTATTATAATAAAAGTTGTAGAAGATTATTGCGATTCTAATGATAGTAAGATAAAATCAGCCTTATAGATCATGAAATATGTATAAAAATAGTTACAATTGTTTAATATTCTTATATCTCATGATGTACAAGGCTGATTTAATAATCTTACTATCATTAGAATCATAATAACATTCTCTACAACTTTTATTAGAATCTCAAGCAAGGTTATTATAATAAAAAATAATAGTTTTTATTATTACCTTATTTGTGATTTTATTGGCCAATTCTAAGTGTAAAGGTTACATAACTTTTCTAAAATCAGCAAATCTCCTCTGATTGGTCTTTATAGTAGCTCATGTCATATGATATAAACAAGATTACATGATATATCACTTTTTATAACTGCATCAAGAACACCTCCAAAAGATTCTGCACAATTAATCAGATATCAAGTTCAGATATAACATAGCACAATCAGAAAAATTCAAAACAAATATTCATTTTATTAAAAATCGCTTATAACTAGAAAATCTATATAGGAAGCCACCTTTTGCATTCTAACAAAAAAAATTTATTGTTAAATTTTGATGTAAGATATACTCTAATCTTACCCTAATGCTAATCTAATATTTAAGTTTTATTACTTTAATTTTTCATTTATTGTTATTCTTGGTAAAAATAGATGCATAATATCACATGACTGCACAAAAAATTTGGAGGTATAGTTGGTGTAGTTACTTTTTATTGACCAGCTGTTAGCCAGCTGATGGTTTGATTAGCTGTCATGTGATTTAGAATATCAGTTACATGACAAGCCACCTTTCTATTAGCCAGCTGTTAGCTAATATTTTAATTGGCTGGCTTAGTCAGCTGATCCAAATTATGTGGCTTAATATACTAATTGTGATGACTGATACTGAATTTGGCTGATGTTAAATATTATATAAAAATTCAGGTCAGAAATTGCAGATTATATATCGATTAGAGAAAAATCAAAACAAACCCTAACCAATAAGAGAGCTTCCAGAATCAGCTGATTTAGAGATGAGTGGATGGATCAGCTAGTGTGTCAGGTGTAATTCTGGCTTAAATTATCAAGTTTCAGCCAAAAATTTAAAAAAAATTTTAGGCTGAATTATAAATTAATTAATAATTAATTATAAATTTTTAATTATTAATAACTTTTAATCTATGAAACCAATTTAAATGCTTTAACTACTAAAATGATTCTCTTAATAAGAAGATTTTAACAAACCTAAAATCACAAAAATCTAATTATTAAATTCTAAGATAATATTGGATTTGTATTACTATAAATATATTTTATTTTAAGTTATTATATAGTAATATAAAACTATTCATATTTTAACTTCTAGTAATTGGATTTTTATGATTTTAGATTTGTTAGAACCTCTTAATTAGTAGATTATTTTGGTAGTTAAATCATCACAATTTGTTTAGTAGATCAAAAGTTATTTAATATTTTATGTTATATATAATTTTAATTATAAGTTTTAATAATCGTGAAATCTGATTGGCTGATTGGATATCAGGTGGGGGTAAAAAAAAGTGTCAGACAAATGAGATCCTACTCGAACCATGTGATGATCTGCATAATCAAACCAATCAGCATTGACTATGATACAGTATATTAAATTCTGTTTTAGCTATTTTTTGTCTTTTTTATATATATTTTAGCTGCTTTTCTTGCTCGATAATAATTAGTTTCTTTAAATTTTAATTTAAACTAATACAGTTTCAAGCATCAAATAAATTTCTTATATTTAATATATATTTTTTTAATACAAAAAAAAACTTTTTTTTAATACAAAATGCTAATTACTAATTAATATTTTAAGTTATAATAAACAGTAATGGCAAGTATATAATCAAGACAACTGTTCAAAACTAGCATAACCAAAAAGCAAGCTTTTGGTTACTTGATTTTTGAGTACCTTGCTGTTTATAAACTTGCAAGGCTTCTTTGCACTCACTAACCGCTTTCACAAATGGTCCTACTAAGATATCAAAATTTTTTATAAAGTTATCATTATCCATCTCTCTTGTATATAATTCTAACACTTCTTAAATTTTTTTTTATATTGAGCATATTTTTCTTGTTTTTTTTTTATTTTATTTTCCGATATGCCTATTAATATATTTTGTGAATAAGAACCTTCAATAACAGGATCGATAACAGGATTATTAATATCAAAATTTGTCTCAGTAACAGTTATATTTACTAGTCCCTATAGACTATTTCTATAGAATATCACCAGAGGTTTATCAATACCAAAGACAAGTAATGGATAATCATGCCATCTTGTTGTTTCGCTAAAGATAAACCAAAAATCTTTTCTTTCTTTGCAACTAAATGCTTGCATAGAAGATAATGACTATTGGCATATGCTAGGCAAGAACATACCCAATTATTTATATCTATATGATATTTTTCATCTATGTTAGGTATGATTTCCATTGATAATGCCTTGGTCCAATCTTTTTTGAATACTTGCCACCAGGATGAAAAGTGTCGATTTGTATTATACTGTGCAAACTTGAGATCAAAGTCAGGCACTAGTTGTTCAGCAATAATATTGATAAGACGGTTAAGCTGAGGCCTATTATAATTATATTTATAATTATACTTAAATACTCGCCAGTAGCTCTCTGTAATCATAGTAGTTTGAGCCAAAGGCATTGCTGGTGAATAGGCGGAACGGGCAAACATTTTCTAATCTTTAGCATTATACCAGTTTGCTCAAAGATACACCCATAATCTACAAATCTGATGATTATAACAAAAAAGATAGGTTTCTTTTACACAAAAATAATAGATTTCATCTGAACTTCAAAAAGTATTCTTTTCTATTGGGATTAATAGATGCATATTTGCATAACGCTTAATCATACTTATAATTTCTTTAGATTCTTCTTCTGAACATAAACCTTTAATGCTACTAGCAGGAATCCATAATGGATCGATGAAATCGAATTGTTTATGAGCTTTCAATGCTTTTTCCTTCAAGTAAATAGTGTAATAACTCTTCATGGTAAAGATTTTTAAAAAAGTTTTGAAGAACTTAAACACGAGTAGTTATCCCGCCACTTGGATATTGATAAATTGTCTTTAGACTATTGGATGTTAGTAAGTATAAGTATACTAGTAGCATACCATACCCACCACAGTTAGCATTTACAATGAAAGCTCGAAACGTTCCTAATTTGTTTTAAATATAAAATTTATTACAATTTCATTTACCAATTCTATTAAACAGTGGAGTAACGAATCCCAAAGCCTGCACAAAATCATTATCAAAATAAGAGAGAATTTTGAATTCTCTAGATGTAAGTTCAGACCATTCAAGGTAAGTTTTAGATAATAAAAGTTGATTACCATAGTTTGTTAGATATGTTTGCTTGCTACTTGTTCTTTTGTATGTACTGGAAGAATTAGTTTATTTTTAATAAGATGTCAGTATAATATTGAGATTGGCAGGTTATAATTTTGACATTCCTGGATCTATTTTTTTGCCTCTTTTAGAAATTCTGTTTGTTGATATAATAGATGCTCATATAAGCACAAATGTTTACTATGTATGCTTGCATATTGTAATTGTGTATTAATGTTAACTATAATTTTACCCTTATAGAGAAATCGTTGAATTGCAGAACAGGCTTCGCTTTTTCTTTTGATCTCTTGGTTTTCTAGTCTTTGCCAACCTTGGTCTTCATGTGATGTATACTCAAGATATGCTGTAACACATCCTGTAAATTCCTTTTATTTAAAATTTAAAACAAATTTTTTTCAAATTTCAATAATATCTAAATCCAGATTCCAATGGTAAAATAAGAATTTTGATAAGTTGTGCAAAGCCGTCTTTGGTTTTTTCTAAGTTTAATAGGCTGATTTCAAGCTTCTAATCAATTTTAATTATATCTAAAAGCTCAGAATCTAATTCAATCTCTAATGCAAACTTTGTGAACTCTCTAAGTGACTCAGCATGTTGATATTGTGTAGTGATAAACCTCTTTACTTTGTTTATACAATATGAAAGCATATTCTCATCATCATATTCATCGCTACTATTATACACTTCTATCATATTCGCAGATTTATAGTCGAAGACACTAGTTTTTAATGCTGGTTCAAGATCATTATAGTCTTTAAGGATGTTATCAATTTGAAGAAAATCTGTAGCTTTATTAGTTTTGAAAATTAAAGTACTAATAGTTGAAACTACAACTTCAAGGTTAGTAGCGATTTTAGATTTTTTTTGGATTTGCTTTCTGTCTTTTTTTAGTATGTCTTTCAGAGCACATATTACAAGTCATGTACTCATATTGTGGATTACCATTATGAAGTCAGCAAAAGTCTTGTTTATTTTTAAATGTATAACAGCTATCACATTTTTTATTTTTATTAGCGAGATAAGATGAACTGCTTTCACTTATTTTTATTTATATATGAGTAATTTTTTTATATTAGTTTTAGAAAAGATGAATTTATATTTGAAGAAACGGTCTAAGTTATAATTTAATTGAATTATATAATTCTTTAGAGATTATGCGTGTTGGGTATATATAGTTTATAGATTAAACACGATATGTACTGATTTTATAGTCTATTAATAGACAAATCGCGAGTTACCTAAACAAATATATTTTTTTTTATATATAAATTTTTCTATAAGCCTGAATGTGCAGTGCTTCTATCTAAAACTTTTTTTTACTAAGTAAATCACTCTTGGGCTTATAATAAAAGTTGTAGAGCTCATCAAGATGCATCTAATAGTGAAAAAACACTAAAATCAGTCTGGTAGTTCTTGAGAAATCTTTAAAAAACTTCTTTCTCACATATAAAATTTATCAATATTTTTTAAAGAAATTTTATATATAAGAAAAAGTTTTTTAAAGATTTCTCAAGAACCACCAGACCGATTTTAGTGTTCTTTCACTATTAGATGCATCTTGATAAACTCTACAACTTTTATTATAAGCCCAAAAGTGATTTACTTAGTAAAAAAAAAGTTTTAAATAGAAGTGCTGCACATTCGAGCTTATAGAAAAATTTATATATAAAAAAAAATATATTTGTTTAGGTGACTCGCGATTTGTCTATTAATATACGATCTGCAATTCCTGCCTAAATTCTCACATAATATTTAGCGTCAGTCAAATTCAGCATTAGCCATAATACTAATTGTATAATATTTTGTATAATTATTAAATTGCAGATCCCTATATTCGCTCTTTTAACCTCAAGTATCTTGGGATCCACCAAGCTGATTTTAATGATTTAACTACTATTAGAACTAGAAGAACCTTCTCTACAACTTTACTTAGAAGCAGAAAAAGCCTTTGCATAGTAAAATTTTCTTTAATTGTTAAAAGATTATTTTAACCAATCATATAATTGCTTTAGGTGAGTCAATTATTTGATTTAAATTTACAGATGTTATAAAGATAAAAAATATATCGACTTTAGAGGAAGATTAGTTTTGAACTACTAGTGATTAAGAAATAAGGCTTTTAGCAAGAGATTGTAAAATAGCAAAGAATATATATTTAAAATTTCAAGAAGGTTTTGTATATATTTTTTTAAATAAATTAAATTTTAATGCTTTTTTTGTAAAAAATTTATATATAAAATTTAGTGTATTAACTTATTTGATTTATAAGTAACTGCAATAAAAACCCCTATTAAAGCATATGTTCCATGACTTTGATGATTAATAACAATATAGCTGTAAAGGCAATACAAAAGGGTAGTTTAGTAAAGTAGCAAAAGGATATTGCTTAAGAGATTTAGAATATATATATAAAAAAGAATATAGATATTTTTCCAGGTTCATTGGGTACCAAACAAACAGAATCTGACCAATATCTTTTTCAGAATTTTGAATCTAAAAGATTGGATATTAAAAATGAAGATAATAGAGCAGTTAAAAGATCATTAGAGAAGTTTTAATATTAACAGATTTGCAAACTATCTAAATGTAAAGAAGAAGAGATTCAACAACTTGTACTTCTATTTGGGTTCAAAAACAGTAGATTGTTTTTTACAGGATTGGAAGGGTGTGATATCTACCTTTTGCAATAAAGGATCAAGCTATTATTACTTATGCTAAGAAATGTGATAATAATTGTACTAGTTTGGGTTATAGTTCTATAGTGATCTATAATTATAGAAGCTTAAAAAGAAAAGATAGACCTGTCACCACCAAAAAATATAATTCAGTCTGAGTTTGGAGCCGTGCAATAACAAAAGATGGAGGTTAAAAGTGATTTGAATAGATGGTCTAAGAATACTTAATATATGCGAAGTATTTAATAAAAAATTCTATTAGCAAAGCTTATAGAAAAAAGTTGAGAAAAGCATAAGAAGTTTTTGTGAAGTTTTTTGTTAAAGTGAATTATACATCTTTATTTAGGGATGTATATTTTTGATATTTAAAGCTTTTTTTGGCATGTTCAACATCCAAACGTCTAAGTATGCAAAGGTTATTTAAGCTTTAATAATTAAAACATTTATTTTTTTTGGAGATCTTGTCCATGACTTTAATTATTGTTAATACTTTCATTATATATATTACTACATTTCCATATTTATATATATCAAGTACACTAAGCTCAGACCTGAATTATATTGGTTACCTATGCTCTGGCTGAAACCATCATTTGCACAATAAATGTCTCCATCTGCTATCTAACCACCAATCTATTATCTGCAATCTAAACCTACCAGAGCGATATATCCTTATGGATAGCATTCACTTAGTATTTTTCCACCCTTTACTAGTTCTATTTTGGTACACTTCTCTATGACATCATTCCCCGCATCTCTTATACCACTTATATCTAAGCTTCCAAATTTGGTAGTTTCTTCTAGAATATAGCTTCATAGCCTTATAGACTACTTCTAATCTTGGTTATCTTCAGCTAGTCTGCCTAGATAGTATCATGAAGAGGAACTCATGCTGGCTCAGGTTAAGCCTTGTTATTAACACCTAGTTTAGTTAATATGCTGCTAATTCCTATTACCTTTTGGATAAATACTCCTATATATTGGTGCAGGCTCGCTATATTGCATTATAAATTACTTCATAACTTCCAAATTGTGGTTTTCATATTACTTCTCTTCCATAGTTTGAGCTATGGTGTTTTAGTACCCTGATATTTTAGGTTACAAAGCGCTAGAGGTCTAGACCTAATTGCAGCTTGTGGTCTGTAATACTTCTAATTTCAGTGTTTGGTGTTCTTTGTTAATTTCTGATATACAAGCACGATTTGTACAATTGTACTATCAGCCTAGTAAATTTAGCTATTTCGAGTTTTTATTATGTATCCTGAGTTTCAGCCTTCTCGCTCTGTCTTCACAGGTTTCTTTTTTAATAGGCCAAGTGGCTTGGAGCTAGTGATCCTGGTCGATCAAAATTTTTCGACCGACCAAGTCGATAAAATTTTATCAGCTTAGTCGGCTTAGCCAAAAAATTTCGGATGAGTCATAATTTAAATAAAACAACCTGCAATAATTATCTTGGTACTTATCAACATGAATAAAACCCGATTAGAAAGTATCTTACTATATATAATTATGCGATTCAAAAATTTATTAAATTA